TATTAATAATTTAATTAAAAATTTACAGTTGAAATTTTTGAATACTATGTATTACAAGGTATAATCTTAAACTATATAACAAGATTTGAAACTTAGACTAATTTATCTGCAACCTAAACCTAACTAAAATTTTTAAAATATATATTATACAGAAACTATATTAAATTGTTTACAAAACTTTGATTAAAGATATATTAGTAACTAATTGATCAAATTTGATAAAAATTTTTTTATTCAAATTCTATAGAATTGTAGAATTGTATAAAAAAAATTCATTAAATTTATCAATTGGTTGCTGAGATATCTTTAATCAAAGTTTTGTAAACAATTTTAGTACAGTTTCTATATAACATATTTTAAAAATTTTATCAAACTTTGATCGAAGATACCTTAGAAACCAATCAATCAAATTCGAGCATATCCGAATTCTACAGAACTGTAAAATTCGAATTAAAAAAAATCATCAAATTTTATCTTCGATCAAAGCTTTATAAGCAATTTTAGCACAGTATATATATGACATACACTCTAAAAATTTTGATGAAGATATCTCGGCAACCAATCGATCAAATTCGATGAAAATTTTTTTATTCGAATTCTACAGAGTTGTAAAATTAGAATAAAAAAATTTTCATCGAATTTGATCAATCGGTTACTAAGAAATTTTTGATTAAAGTTAAATAAATTTGCAAACGTAGCAATTATGTGCTTGATTTTGATTGGTCGATCATGGGATCGCCACGGCCATAATTTACTGTAATAACAAAATTAATTAAATTAGTTAACAGTTAAAAAAATATATCTGATATGCATCTACGTATAATTGTATACATATCGATATTTCTTTAACAATCGAAGCAAATTCTTTTATCGTTATCAGACTTAAAAAAAAAAAAAAAATTAGGTTTAATAACAGATAATAAGCAATGCGCCCAAGCACACTGATTAGGTTATAACGACCATCACATGATTCTTTATTGGGAGTCAAACGATATTTTTGTACAAGACAATTAGAAGCATGTGATATTTATTATCATTAAAATCTTTTTGTTTAATATTACAAGATTTGAATTTGACTATATAAGTATTAGTACTTGGATCTGTTTTATATACAGAAGGTTTGTATGTAAGGATTGAATGGTAACAATAATCCAAAATCACGATCAAACAATAAATAGACTACATTGAAAGTAAATTTTGGATCAAATTAATCATTTCCGGATTATCCTGGAAGACGCTCGGATTTTCAACCAATATTTTTACGCCAAATTGCAGCCAATCGACATTTTCCACATTAAAAAAAATTTATATATAAACATGGTTACAATCCTAAAACCTGTTTTACATTATATTACTATAAATGCGACGAAGCTGCTTTAACTCCGGAGGTTTTATGTCTTTTGTTTGATTCTCTTTACCACCTGCTCACCTTCCTGTTTTATTTGAGCACATTATTCCTTTAATAGTTTATAGATTTAGTTTATACGTTTTTACTGAAAAAGATTATGAAAGTTTATAATCTAGTGCTTGCGTTCCTTCCAATACTTTTATCCACAACTTCGCTTGTCTTTTGCGACAAGTCGGCACAACAATACTTTGACGAAGGAAACGAATTTTTTGCAGACCAAAAGTATGAGGAAGCTGTGAAAAGTTTTGTTGCAGCCATTAGTAAGTTACAGACTTTTCTTGACCACTGCTTACAGTATCTGCTAGTGTGCTAACGTATACGTACTTTCTTGCCACAGATCAAAATCCAAATGAGTACTTATACTATTTCAAGTGTGCTTTAACGTATTTAGCATTGGAAAGAAGCTCTTCTGCTCTTCAAGACTTTAGTACAATATTACAATTGAAACCTGATTTTGACAAGGTACTTTATCAATAGTTATGGAAAAAAAAACAATTTTTAATTTGTTAATTGGCTAATTTTTTTTTCTCAAAATTAGGCATTATTACAACGTGCTAAAATATACGTAAAAGAAGGATCATTAACTGAAGCTAAATCTGACTTGCAAAAATACCTGCAAAAAAATGAGTACGATACTGAAGGTCAAAAATTGGTATGTATTCGTTCTCAAACAATGCATTTAAGGCTAAGCAAAGTTAATTTTTTGGTTCTCATAACCCGGCCGGGTCAAATTTTTCTAAACCTAAGAAAAAAATTTTTAAGTATATTTACTATTCGGGTGGTCTTTTTTTTTTAAAAAAAAAATATAAGAAAAAATTTTATATATAATATTTAAAATTAAAATTAAAAGTAGAGATTGTACCCGTTGAGAAAATCACTACCTGGGTATTATTAAATACCTGGGTTGACCCGGATGAATTACTATGTTATTCAAGCAAAAATCTTTACCCGGGTACAATCACTAATTAAAAGTAGGGTGGCGTGTCATTATTTTAAAAAATTTAATGTTATGAGAACCAAAAAATTAATTTTATATGCCTAATATTGATTAATAGTATAATAATTAATTATTTATTCACAAAAAATAAAAAATAGCTTGTATCAATTAGTTCTGCAGAAAAATATATAAAAACAGCTGATGAAGCTATTAATTCTGGGAATTATGATATATGTATAGAAAATATTCTCAATGTGATAAAAATTTCGCCATATTCTACACGCTTAAGATTAACTAGAGCTGATTGTCATTTGGCCAAGGGAGAAGTAGAAGAGGGGGTTAGGGATTTATCGTATGTATATATTTTATATTACGGGTTTTAGTCGCCGTTTAGTTTTATTGATTTTTTTCGGTGGAATCGCTATTCTGCTTATTTTTGTTTACATTGGCTTTTTTTTTTTTTTTTTTTTTTTAGTTCTGCTTCACAATTGAAGCCAGGTGATCCAGAACTTTTGACTCGTCTATGTTTACTTAATTATTTTTCTTTGTATAATCCGGAACAAGCGTCTCAAAACCTTAAACAGTGCCTTCGTTATGATCCCGAGAATAAAGAATGTAAAATACTTCATAGATTTATTAAAAAGATTGAAAAAGAGGTAGAAAGAGTCATAAATGATATTGATGGGCATAGATGGAAGAAGGCAATAAGCAAGTTGCTCGAACAACCTAATAAAGAACAATCTAATAAAGAATCAACTAATAAAGGTCTTATAAATGAAATTGAAGAAGAGCTCCAGACTTTGAATGAAGGTCGTCAACGAAACGAGTTGTTAGTGAAATTATACGGATGGACATGCAAAGCATATAAAGAAGTAGGTATATCTATACATTTTATCACTAAATAATGTGGTGAATTAGTCGTAAATTATAATATTATTTTATTTTTAGTTGAAAGATGTTAAAAATTCGTTGAAATGGTGTGATAAAACTTTGAAATTAGACGAAAATAATGTAGAAGCACTAATTAATCGAGCAGAAATATTAATTGAAGAAGAAGATTATGAAGGAGCATTAAATGATTACAAAAAGGCTCATGATTTGACACAAGGATTGGATAATCGTACTAAACAAGGTTACCAAAAGGCTGATCGCCTGCTTAAACAATCTAAGAAAAAAGATTATTACAAAATTTTGGGCGTTTCAAGGAAAGCCGACAAGAAAGAGATCAAAAAAGCATATCGAAAACTGGCACAAGAATGGCATCCTGATAAATATAAAGGTGATTTATCTCAGGATCAGGTTGCCAAGAAAATGAGTGCTATAAATGAAGCTTATGAAGTCTTGAGTTATGATGGTAAATCGTGATAATTTTTATCCAAGCTAATTTAATAATTTATTGTTTTTAAAAATATTTATTCTAAATAAAATTTACTTTATTAGAACTGCGGGCAAGATTTGATAATGGGGAAGATCCAAACGATCCAAACAGTGGAGGTTCACCGTTCTTCTATTCAGACAATAATCCATTCATGACGCAATTTAACGGGTTTCCATTTAGTGGATTTCCATTTAGCAGCGGTGGCGAAAGTAGTGAAGGACAATATCAATTCCATTTTAATTTTCCTTAAGCATTTGCGCATTATTTCATTTATTTTTTCACTTGAACAATTTCCTGCACTGTTATTTGGTAAAAGCACATACATAATATAGCACTTGACTTTTTTGATCTGGTTGCTGGACACTAGTTCTTTATCTCTTAACACACTTTAGAATTCAATGGGGAGAATATTGGAAGTTGGCCCATTTATAAGTATATGCCACTTTTGGCATCAAGTGTATTGTTTATACATCAACATTATATAAAACATTAATGCACAATTATTTTTTCAAGTATTTAAAAGTTACTTTAATCTTTTTGGTGCATTAAGTAGATTTCTTTTGTTTTATAAAAGACTTATAATAAATAGTAATATATACTTATTGATGCGTATATCTGATTCTAGAAGTATTATTTCGAGGCGATCTTAGATTTATGAATCAGATTTGCAAAAATTATTTAAATTAATTTATATTTTACAGATGGAGAATAAAGAATTTGCAATACTAATAGAGATAATATTTCTTAATTGTTAAACTTTTATTGAAAACTGTTACACAACTTTTGTTTTGTAATAAAATTTTTGACCCGAAATAGACATTACATTGCCCATTTGGTTCATGCGTATCGATACAGACCAAATTACCTCCCTATACAAAATTTTTATAAATAAATTTTCAGATATCACAAAATTTTAAATTTGGTGAATAACGATAATCGAATTTAATTAAAAATATTCACACATGCTTGGATCGACATCAATAACCAATCACTATAACAGATAAGAACGTTTTCTTTGCTCGTTTTGTCGATTTCCGAAATAATGCAATTATAAAAGAAAACTAATTATTAGTTATGTCCGAAAGAAAATTATAAGTCATAAATTTTCTAAAAATTGATAAATAATTCTATTTAATTCATAAATATTTATGATATACTATATATAATGCATTGAAAAGTCTATTGAAGTGATGAAACCTTACTAATACTCCATTTTTAATTGGTGCATTAAAAATATTCTCCAAAATTCTCCAAGGTTATTAATCGAAATAAGCTATTCTTTATTACTTTTGATTAGGGATCCTATAACCCGGGTAACCGTGTACCCGATGACCCGAACCGTAAAATTTGCCAACCGTATTATTTTTTTGACAAACCAGGTGACCCGTTTTACAACGGGTGACCTGTTTTACAAAGGTTGGTAAATTCAATAGGTATCGATTAATAATAATCACGATTAATCGTATATAGAGATGTAATCAGCTCCACTTGAAGCCGGCTTCAGCCACGGCTTAATACTAGAGCCACTCTCAAGCCAAGCCGTTTAAATCATGGCTTTAATCAGAGAAGAATGGCTTCGGCTTTGGCTTCAGCCATAGCCTGAAGCCAAGCTGATAACTTAGAGCCATGATTTTGAAGCCGGCTTTAGCCGGCTTCAGACGAATGTATGTAGCTAATTGAAGCCATGTGGCTTAACAATATGTCTATCGTTTACATATACAGTATACGTATCATTTATCACATGCTTTACGTATACAAATATAAGAAAAAAAATTTAACTATTAAATGCTAACGCTAATACGTACGTACAATATGAAAATTTATTAAACTAATATTATCTGTTATATATTACATAATAGGTTAACATTATTTCTCTATTTGTACTTCAATACCCTGTTCCATCCAGCTTTTCAAACAAAGCAAAGCATATGCGGTTTCGAGGTGAAGACGATTGCGAATTTTCGTAAGTGTTCTTGCTGCTACTGAAAATGCTTCTTCACAGGGAACACTTGTTCCTTGAATCGCTAAATAGTTATGTGCTATCTTAGCTAGAATTGGGAATCTAAATTCATTTTTCACCCACCACTCAAGAGGATCTTCTTCAGAACACGGAGGCGAAGATAAGTATAGATCTAATTCTTCTACTGGTGGTTTGTTTATTAATTGTTGCTGTTCTAATAGAGATTTAAAAAATTCTCTTTTTCTATTTTTAGAAGGGCTAGCATTAGTTGCAGAAGCTTGTAGTATATATTGAACTATTGCTTGGTGCAAATTTGTAATTGTTGTATTTCTTTTTTCTTCAGATGAGAATGTTATAAGTTTTGAAGTAGAATCAAGAATAGCAGCAATCGTAATAGATTTGTCAAGAAGTAACCAATATTTATTTAGTTTATAATGTATAGAATTTGTGACCATATATTTATTAAGTGAGTATGATCTATCATCAATAAATCTACTAAGGTAGTGAAGAATACTGTCAAAAGACAAATATACATTAGATATTGTTAGATACAAACAAGATGAAAGTAATATAGTTGCTTCAAGTATAGGATAAAGAAGGTTGAGTAAATTATCAACTTCTTTAAATTCATCTTCATCAAGAAAAATATCTCTGAGTTTATGTTTGGTTGCAAGAAGGTCAAGCTCGATATGCATTAATTTAAACCTATATAATATATTATAAGTGCTATTCTAACATGTTATTACGTTAATTTTAGGTGTAATGTATTGTTTTTTATTTACTAAGCAGAAATTTTATAGGTCATCACACAAAATAGTCAAACAGTAAATCTTGGCTACAAAATTACGAACTTTATCTACTAGAAGAGTTTGGTGTTGCATTCTATGACTAACTGCAATATTAAGAACATGTGCTGCACATCTATAATGCATAAACTCAAATTGATTCCAAACATTTTCTAGAAGTTCTCCACACATGACTATTACCAAATGATTATCTATCATTAATGAGATGATTTTATTTTTAATTTTTATCTTATTACAAAGCCAAATAAGTTTTTCTTTAGTACGTTCAGCAGTGTAGTTTGATTCAAAATAGATTAGGTCAAGTAAAAAGTGTTTTATAGGTCTAGCAATCTTAGTATAGTAGTTAAGTTGCCGAACTGCTATGCAAGAGGTCTAGGGTTCAAATTCCACTGTATACAGAATTGAATAATTATCTAGACATCTGTATCCAACTTATAGTAAACTCTGTCTCTTTCTGGGGTTGTAACCCTGTAAATCACATTGCACCAATACCAATCAAGGTATTAGAAGTGTAACAGGCATTCGGCAAGGCATAATATTATACGAATAAATCTTGATAGAATTTATGAGCAGGGAACCTGCATGGTAGAAATCTTGAGTTAGGTGAAGTAGTACAGATTTTGACAGTT